GGAAGGGGAATTTTCGAGCCGCAGCATGAGCCGTAGCATGAATATTTTTTAGGGTTAATTGGCGTGCATGAATTTTTTTCATTTAATCATGTTTCCCTTGCAAGAATATTTTTTTTTGCACTTCGCCCGTCCCCCCCTCCCCCATAAGTTTTCTAATGGTCCGTCTCTAATCTATATCTTTCAAACCTGTACAATTTTCTAAAGAGACTTGGTTTTGCCCGCAAATTTGTTTCAAAGCCAGACCAATGAGGTTTAGCCTTAGAAAATAAGCCGACATTTTGCGACGCCACCCGACTGCAAGTTTCACGACATGTGGCGTCGCGAAATGTCGGCTTTTTTCTCAGGCTAAATCAGGGTTGGGTGATTTTGGGTAATTTTGGGTGTTTAGACATAAAATAAACGCTACTGAAATAAATAAACACTCACTTTAAATGTATCGATGCACTTGGAGAATATACCTTTGCAATGGGTGATTCTAAAAGGTTTTGAAAGAGACCCTTCCCCCCCATTTAGCTTATGGCTCTCTTGTCATGGGTGATTCGATGGAAAACCTTTGGCTCATCGATTTATATTGTTTAAGGTTCCTTGTTAACCACGGGAGCAGCTGTAGCAAAGTATTTACTTATGTTATTGGGCAGAACGTTACGAAGCCTCAATTCTCGTGCCCAAAAACCGTTTTTTTTTTAGCGTGGGGGGAGGGGTCAGAAGGAGCTATGATCCTACAATTTATGGTGTTACTACTTACAGAGAATAGGCCTTTAAAAACTATTTCTTCAGGGATCAAAGTTAATTATGTTTAAATTTCCGTTGTCCACTGGTTTTTCGTCTTCTTTTCCTTTACTGGGTTAAGAGTATGTTTCCAGATAGATAAGAAAAACTCTTAGTTTACAGAAAAATGGTGCAAAAACAAAAAATGTTCCATTTCACTTTTATCATCGCCTTGTTTCTATACGCTAAAACATGTCAAGCGATTTTTTAGCCGTTAACGATTCAAGGAGAATCTTGGTTTGGCATAAATATGCTTAAATAGATACCTGCAGCTGCTTGCTTGAGAGACAGGGTGGATTTTCACTGTCGCATAATTTTTACGTACGTACTATGTACGAGTGTAAATAAAATAGAACCAGCGTAAATGTGAAAGCTGAGAAGGTTTACGTTACGTGCGATCTTCCGTACATTGCCTCTGTTTTTGAGCTATTTTGAAGAAAATAGCTCATTTGTCAACGGACTGAGCGTATGTACCTTTGTATCTT